AAAAATATTTTTGTCGAAAATATACTATCCGAACCGTATTTTAGTAGAAAAATATTTCATCAGAACCGTATTTTATTCGAAAAATATTTTTGTCGAAAATATACTATCCGAACCGTATTTTATCCGAAAAATATTTTAGTCGAAAATGTATAGATATTAAAGAATGATTAGGCCATATTTTGTGCTTATCATACGGGAACGAACATGAAAATATTTTGAGATTATAGAGATCTTAACACAAATAGATATATGTATAATTATTGTACCTATATAATTTATGATAAGACTTCTGCCAGAATAAGAGGCAATGATAAAAAACAGTCTATCGCTCTTCCCCATTCCGGCACACTTTTCTCTATTTTATTAATGTAGCTATGGCCTATCCCTTATTTATGCACAATCAAACTTCCAATAATTAGTGTAAATATACATTGGAACTTTTTAAGCTTAGGACTTATCTACGACGGACTTTTTTACCGCGATTCCTATATTGTATATGTGTATATTAAAATATTTATCTTAAGGGGAAAAACTAACTTAAGCATTATAATATTATGATATATACTAATTTTACAGACTAGTGTCTTATCACAAAAATGTAAATTTGGCTTTTGAGTCTTTGACTATGTAATACCTATTGTTAGTTTTGTTTTTTTATAATAAAACATTTTTTCGTAAATTCGTGTAATTATAATTATATTATTAATGGCATGCTTAAAAAGGACATGAAACATTGGGTTGATATCTTTGGTCCCATTCACATTCGGAATGGTTGAGAACGTATGTGATAGAATATTAAGAGTAGAGAGTAGAGAAAAACATACTAAGAAATACCTAATAAGTAATAATGCTGCGAATCATGCATTCAGGAATGAAGATGATTGGTTTTGGTAGGTATGTAATTTTGTAAAAATTTGAATTTAAAATGTTTGTATACAATTACTGTGTTCATATATATTTTAGATTTTTTGGTTACAGTATGAACTATTTATGAAAATCTTTGTTTTAGAATTTATATTTTATAATTTTTTAATTACAATAATAGATTATTTTCGAGATTTTGATAAACTTTGTCAAAATTCGAACTTTAAATGTTTATACAAATAAATTTCACATATCTATTTTTAATATTATTCCACTGCTATTGTAACAATATATCAGGACCTTGTATTATATTTTCGCGCTTTTTGACCCTACAAATAAAATTGTATTGACAGGTATAAAAAAAAGAACTAAAAAAAAATTTGAAAATGTTGGTGAATAGTTTAAAATATTTTGAAAATGTTATCATGTAGGTATCGGATTTTATAAAATAAACATATTGTGTAAATTTCAAGTATCTACAGACATTTGCTATAGAATTACACCAAAAACCAAAATCAATTTTGTCGAAAACTAATTTTACGTAAAATTCCTGTTTTTCTTTAATTTTTTTTTTTTGTTTTTCCCGTTGCTTTTGAAGACTACTGAGAATTTAAATGTTGGCCTCCCAAATCCGCCAACTAGATTCACTTTCCCATCGAACAAGATACTGCAGTTGAAAATTGAAGCATTATTTCCAATTTTGACTACTTACCAGTACACAGACACAAAATATATAAACACACGTCATTGTAAAATCAATATATCGCTCCCCTTAGAATGTAAAATGTATCTAAAATATATATTTATACCCAAAATACTAATTTTAAAAATTAAATGAAATGACGGCAATCCACCATAACTTCGTAAACGATTATCTGTCTATTCATAAAATTAATACACTGCAAATTCATCTCATCGTCTTATCGACAATCTTCAAGTGCTTTTAGGAAAACCGTGCCGCTGCGGACAGTTAAAAATCATATCATACGACAGAAATATTAAAAACACATTCATGTTTTGTATTAATTAAAATAAAAATGTCAGTGGATAAAATTAATAATTATTAATTAAGTTAAAGTATGCCTCCAAAAGTATAAAATTGAATAAATGCCCTACAAAAAAAACTCAAAATATGCATTTATATAAACAAATGAAATTTCAAAACTAGCTTTGTGAAGGCATGAAACGTATTTATTACGAACTCTACTATTTTTGTGACTGTGCAAAACAAATATGCAAATGCTACAAGTCCTCTGCACCATCAGTATAGTATGCTAAAATCAGAGTAATACATTTTTATTCTAGAAATATTTTATAAACTGATATGCATATTATATGATACCAATATACATATAAACATGATAAACTATATTATTATGCTTATTATACTATATTACTATATCATAGAACAATAATGTACATATGCGTATTATGTACAGTATCAGTACTCTATCATTACTCTACACCGTACCTACACTGTTAACAAAATCCTTAGGGAGAATGACACCTTTAGCCTCCTCCCTGCGGGCACCCATCGGCGTAACTAGAGGGGGGCGTAGGGGGCGTAGCCCCTCCATACATCTATTTATCCCCCCTTTGAGCTATTACATTTTAGTCCCTTCTTAGCCTCGTAGTTAGAACCCAAATTGTTACGAAAAATAAATATTGTGTAAAATAATAAATTATAATATTATAAAATATGAAATAATATAATTGACATCATGTAGGTATGCAGCAAGTATGAATGATCGTAATAGTTTTCGTGGAAGAAATGTGTTCATGTGTATAACCTTAAGGTGTATAGCTTATCTGCTTATTGCATAATATTAGCTTCAAGCTTACTTATAGGTGTAACGCTATTAACTCCCCTATTATAATATACAATATTAATATAATATTATTTTATTACCATTATTATATAGGTGCCCGTGTCCCGTATTGGTATACCTATTCTGCCGTCATAAGCGAAAACGCCGTAGGTCACCGAAAAAACGATTTTGAAAAAAACGCGTTTTTGTATTTTGTATTTTCATAAAATCATAACACCTTGTACATTCTAATTATTTAAATATGATATATGGTTTCTTATGTAATTTTACCCAACGAATTGCAATGAAACAATAATAAATATGATTAAATTAATAATTAACAAGATATTTTACTTTACTCGTTGTACCTTAGTATTGGTATAAACTTTTGCTACACTATTCAAAAGCAAGAATGCCGTAACTCATAATTAACAATTTCTGATATGATAAAATTATTTATACATTTTAATTTTAAAGAATTCACAAAACAAAAATATTATTTTTAAGTCAATTTATAAATAAAAAAAAATACTTTAAAATACATAATTTTTATAATAATTAGCATGTTGGAATATTTTCCCAAAAAATTTTTCTGTTGGCTGGGAGAACTTGAGACAGATTTTGTAGGATACTATCGCGTTTTTCTTGTAAAACCCCTCGTGGTTTCGTTAANCAATTTTACAGTGTTATATCAGATACCATATTATTTTATTGGTATTATACATTTTACATTATACTATATTGCGAGTATCGCTATTAATATATTATTATTTTATCATTATTTATAAAAATATTATATTGATGTCACAAAAAAAATATTTGATTGATAATACGAAAAAAATATTTTATAATATTATTTTTCAATTAATATATTAATGTAACTCTTGTGGCCAAAAAATATTCATAAGACATCATTTTGACATTTTTCAAATCAAAAAATAAGTTAAAAAAAATGTTTTTCTAATCATATTATTATGAGAATGATATTTTTAAAACATAAAAAAAATAATTCTTTGCTATCTGGGGAAGTGAGGTGTGGATGGTGGATTGAAGTGCCAGCTGATGTTCCGCGCTGTGAGAAAGCTTCTACACTTTTCCTGGTGTTCAGCGGATTGCGTGAATTGATCAACTGTTTCAAACAACTTGGAGGCGCCTACAAAGTTGGTTCCACAGTCACTGTGTATCTGTTGTATTGGGCCTCGGCGTGAAATAAAACGACTAAAGGCCATCAGAAAAGTCTCAGTGGACAAGTCTGAGGCGAGTTCAAGATGTAGCGCTTTGGTTGCCATGCAGACGAAGAGGCATATGTATGCTTGGCATGGTACAGTGCTGCGCGTTGTTGATGGTTTTAACATGATTGGACCAGCGTAGTCGACCCCGACTGCGGTGAATGGCTTTATTTGCTGTAAACGGAATTTTGGCAAATTTCCCATTACGGGCTGGACTCCTCGAGGACGAGTTCTGTAGCAGGCAATACAGTGACGTAAACGAGATTTAATAACTTGACGACTGGCTACAATCCAATACTGTTGCTGGATGATGGATTGTAGTGTTGTAGCCCCCGGGTGCTTGTGCTGACGATGGGTGTCGTCAATTAGCAAGTGAGTAAATCGATGTGTCCTCGGGAGAAGACTAGGGTGCTTCTGCTCACACGGAAGATCAGCGTGAACCAGACGACCTCCAACTCGTAGAATTCCACGGTTGTCAACAAATGGATTCAAGCCACGTAACTTGCTAACACCTTTGTGAGTAGGATCGCGGAGTTGCGTAAGTTCGTCACCGAACGCTTGGCTTTGTACGGCGAGTATAATGACCTCCAGTGCGTTACTTAGTTCGGTGGTTGATGGGTCGATTCTGTCGGGTTTGATGTTCGCAAAGACCCGTTTACAATATGCGATGATGCGAATGATCTTTTGTAATGACGAAAATCGACAGAAGAGACGGTCGAAAATGGTGTTGGTCCGGGTTGTCACGAGGACTGTGGGTCGTGCTTCAAGGTCTGTGACGGCCGTAGCAGAACATAAGGGCCATGTATTGTGATCTTGAACCAGGAACGCAGGTCCATTCCACCACATTGGATGTTTCAGGAGTTCAGTAGGGTAGAGTCCACGATACGCGCAGTCTACCGGATTTTCGCTGGTTGGAACATATCGCCAGAGTGATGGTGGTGTGAGGCTCTGGATCTGGCTGGTTCTGTTTGCAATAAACGTAGCCCATCGATGTGGAGATGATTGAATCCAGGCGAGAGTGGTCGTTGAATCAGTCCAGGCGTGCATGGCGTTGATGGAAAGTAGTTGTTTGAGAAGTTCATACACATAATGCAACAGTTGAGCTGCCAACACTGCACCGCACAATTCTAATCGTGGAATAGTCACTCGTTTCAGAGGTGACACCTTGGATTTTGCCGTGACGAGGTTGCAATAAACGCGGTTTCCAGAATCGCAACGTAGGTACACTGCGGCCGCATAACCCTTTTCGGAACTGTCTGAGAAGACGTGGAGTTCATACTGAGTTTCTCCTTCCGTGGTAAGTCGTCGGGGAATCTTCAGATTTTGTATGCATTGAATTTCACCTTGGTACCGCTGCCACATTGTGTGCACCTGTTCGGGAATGGGATCGTCCCATCCGATTCCTGATGTCCATAGTAACTGCATCATGTGTTTTGCCAAAAAGGTGACAGGTGAGAGAAAACCGAGAGGATCGAAAATGCGTGCAAGATCCGAGAGGATCGAACGTTTCGTTGTACTTGCATTTGGACACTGAAAGGTGTAAGAGAAATGATCAAGTTTTGGATTCCATTGCATCCCGAGGATTTTCAGCCCAGCCTCCAGCTCATCGTCGAATAATACATCAGATGACATGGAGCGCTCATCTTTCGATACAGCCTGAAGGATCACAGGAGAGTTGCTGGCCCATTTCCGAAGTTGAAATTGGCCTTGGTTGCATAGAGCAATTAATTGTGATTGCTGCACTAAAGCTGCTTCTGGGGTATCAGCCCCCGTGAGTATGTCATCCACAAATGTGTCTTGCATGAGGATCTGAGCAGCGATATGGAATTTTGTCTCCTCGATCGTCGCTAGGTGTTGTAAGGTTCGCAATGCTTGATGAGGAGCAGAAGATGTACCATATGTTACTGTACAGAGACGCCCAGATAACAATTTCGTAACAATAATGTTATGATAACGTTTTTTCTAGGTTGAATTTAAAATATTTTAATTTTCATATTAAAAAAACATTTGATGTTGATTTAAATAAAAATATTTAGTTTTAAATATTTTTTAAATATTTTTACTAAGTGTATTTTATAATATTAAATAAGAAGTTAGGCAACAATATTATAATAACATTATGTTATTAATGTTAAAAACCATTATTTTCATAATATTTTTAACATGTTTTAAGTTCGTTGAACTTATAATATTTTAATAATTACTATTAGGAAACATTTAGATAATCTACAATTAATAACATAAAATAATATTTTATTCGTAATATTCAATGTAGCTTCCAAGTTAATTAGGGATATAATATTCGGTATTGAAACTTTTACAAATATTTTAGGAACATTCAATGATTTACCTACATAATAAAAAAAAACGATTTATATTATAGATGGAGATGGCCTTTGGGCTATGGGCCTATGATGGCTATGGCATAGGCAAATGGGTAGAAGAGTATACACATGGGCCAATTAACATAGAAAAAGAGCTAAGTGTTAAAATGTACCTACTCCTTTATTTAGATTATTATATCTGGTCACCAAAATAGTGTATACATATTAATAAATAATGTATAATTTATAAATATGCCTGTTTGTCGCGTGAGCGTACTAAATTGTCTATATTCATTTAAATACAAACTATTTTAAATGAACGATATAACCATAATTTATTAATAGTATTATAATAATAAGACGATTAGATTAGAAGTTGGAACTAGCTGCGGTGTTCATACACACGCCACAGCTACAGAGTGTATACAAATACAATATACATAGATGATGGGAATTGAGTATTGAGTATTGACAATCGACGTTTAACACACACACACTCTGCGCGATTATTTTGTTTACTATTGCATTATTATTGAATTATTCACTATTGGGATTCGTTTTGTATGACGCATGGGAAATCCCATGATTGTTATTTAATAATTTTCTGTACTTATTATTACGTAATACGTTATTTTATATTTTATTATACTCGTTTCTGATGTTTTTAAATTAAAAATATGTGGCATTATGGTGGTAATACGATTTTTCATTGTGGTAAAAGCGGTATTTTTGATAACGTAGTAGGGTAATTTAACATTCTGTAATCGGCAACACTACTTTTTATATAGGTATAATAATATAATTATTTTTCAGTTGGTCTTTGTTTTGACTGTTTTGAGTTTCTGATTCTGACCGCAGAGTGCAGACCGACTACCGAGTGTTAGCTCTAAGTCACGTGTATTAATTATTGTAAAAAATTAAATTAAAATCGACAGTCTTCAGTCTCGGTTTGCTTAAAACAGGTAAGTAACTTTACTAACTAACTTTATGTAATATAAATTATTTAGTAGATAATATAGTAGTTAAGAAATATTTATATTTTAGCCTGCTTAATACTACATAGGTAATATAGTTACACATATACATACACATTTCAATAATATTTCGTACTTATTGCGACTTGCTAGTATAGGTACCTACCTCATATTACCATGATATTTATATAATTTGTATTATATTGTATATTTGGTGTTTACCACTGCCCGTACCTCATAATACAGTTTGAAACATATTTAAAACTATCAAAATTGTATGAAGTGTATATATTATAGTAAGTTTTATAATATTACAGTTTAAACTTGATCCAGCCTCTGAACAGTCTGATCCTATGATTTTGACGATTTAATCTTCGAATCACTATTGTAAAACAGACTCATAAAGAACCTTTTTCCTCCCATTCTAATATAAATAGTAAACACCTATTAATTTCTCTTTAAATCCTGGTACGTAAATACTTATACCTACCTATATATATTTTTTTAATTTTATAATTATCTTGGTAATATTATACATGTATATTATGTTACAATATTGTACATAATAATGCATATTTTATATTTTTTACCAATAATTTTTGGTTTACCCGGATTTACCTAACCATTTTGTTCCTAAAATTTACTTAAAAGTGAACCGAAGGTATTTATTACAAAATACGAGTACCTATATATTATGTTAAACAAATGTATACTGACATAAGTTAAAACTAGATGTTAATAAAAAAATATTTAGATACCTATTATTTAATAGATATGTTGATTCTCTTCAAAAATATTATTAAATAATAGTACATAGTGGTGGCATAGTGGCATACCTACTACATACAATTATAGTGTACCTACTGACTACTATCTATATAACGCTACATTAATAATTATATTAGGTAGGTACTTATTGATTTATTTAGACTTTTTCTTTTAATATTTTTAATTTGTGAGATTTTGAGCCTATGAAGGCCAGATAATGTTTCCAACATTAAAGGATAACTAAAGTAAATAAAATAATAGGTATTATTATAGTGTTTTTTTAAAATCAATTATTTAATTATTTGCCTTAGGTATATTATTAATTATTATATTCAATTTAAAATTAGATAATATGTGATAAATAATAAGTTTTATATGTAATGTACAAACAAAATCATTGTAGTAACTAATCTATATAATTCATGTTAATTGTCAAATGTCAGCCAGTGGCCTTCGCTGCCGAGGCTTATTCTAATAAAAAAAAAAAAAAAATAAGTTTTATGTGTATTTAAAGTGTACCATTAAAGTATCTGCACCAAATATTTTGTTTTATTATTATAATTTATAATTTCTTTAAGTTAATTAATAATATTATATCTAAATACTTAATTGTTTTACTCAACATATTTAGTCTAACATATATATTATAATATCTATAATATGTAGGTATGTTTTTGAAAACTACATCAGGTATAAATAATTTTTTTCAGGTTTTAAAATTTATTTTACAAACATTTTTTATTCACCATTTTTAAAATGATAAAAAGTAATCGAACTAAAAGGAGGAAAAGAAAACAAGAATTAGATAATATTAAAAAAATATATCCTATTAGTAGTTATAATATTCAAGTAGAACCAACTTACAATACAGATGAAATTACTTTAGAGTCACAAAAAATCCCATCCACAAGTACTTGCCTAATAAGAACATCACAAATAGAAACAAATACATTTTTCACCGAGCCAGTATCAGCTATACCTATAACATCATTTCCATTAAACTTATTTAATGAAACACCAGACAACCATGAAATAATAGAACAGGAATACATAACAACTAATAATTTTAAGGAAGAATTGAGCACTTGGGCTATCGAATGTAATGTCCCCAACATTACTGTTAATAAACTATTAAAATTAATGAAAAAAAATGAAGTAATTAACACTAAAGATCTGCCAAATGATTGTAGAACATTACTAAGTACACCAAAAAAAAGAGTTAATATTCGAAGTGTAAATCCCGGTCATTATTATCATTTTGGTTTAACTGCAGGAATATTAAGATACGCAACATCTGATTTGAGTGAGGTTAAAATAGCCATTGGTATTGATGGTCTTCCTTTAGCCAAAAGCAGCAATAGTCAGATTTGGCCTATTTTAGCATATATTATTGATACAACAAAGAAAGTTTTTCCTGTAGGCATTTATCACGGAACAGCTAAGCCAAAAGATAGCAATGATTTTATGGCAGATTTCATTACAGAAATTAAAGAACTCATAGTTAATGGTATTGTACTAAATGGTTCTAATAAAAAAGTATCAATACATGTATTTGTATGTGATGCCCCAGCTAAAGCCTTTTTATTAAAAATCAAAGGCCATTCAGGGTTTTTTTCTTGTACTCGATGTGTTCAAGAAGGCGAGTATTATAAAAATCGTGTCTGTTTCCCATACTCTGATCAAAAATCTGATAAAAGGACACATGAAATGTATTTAAAGAGGTTACATGATGAGCATCATGTTGGGAACACATTATCAGACCTTATAAAGTTACCAGGACTAGATTTGGTGCAGTTATTTTCTTTAGATTATATGCATTTAGTTTGCCTCGGAGTCGTAAGAAAATTGATTTTACTTTGGCTGCATAAAGGACCATTATATGTACGCCTGTCTAGCCATAATGTTAAACAATTAAACGCATCATTATTAAGTATGAATTCTTGTATACCTAGTGATTTTGTTAGAAAAGCAAGAGAAATACATGAAGTGGGCAGGTGGAAAGCCACTGAGTTAAGGTTATTTTTAATATATATAGGTCCGATAGTATTAAAAAATATTGTCAAAAAAGATATATATACAAATTTTATGGTTTTGCATGTTGCTATGTTAATACTGCTAAGTCCAAATCGACAAGACTATGTAGCGTATGCAAAACAACTTTTAAATTACTTTGTAAAAACCTTTGAAATAATTTATGGTCGTGAACACATTTCACATAATGTCCATGGACTTCTGCATATATCAGACGATTATGAATACTATGGCCCGCTGGATAATAGCAGTGCATTTATATTTGAAAATTTTATGAAAGAGTTAAAATCTAAAATAAGAAAACATGATAAACCATTGGAACAATTAGTAAATAGATATACAGAAAAATACACCAAGATACAAATACCTCAAAATTCAAAACAATTTTTGCTATCACAACCACATTCAAATGGACCATTAGTTAGCAACATTGATGGAGTTCAGTACAAACAATTACAAATAAATCATACAAAAATTAATATATCTGTTGATAAAGATAGTTTTTTCCTTACTAAAAGTGGAGAAGTTGCAAAATGTTTAAACATTGTACACTGTCAAAATCATGTAATACTTATTGGAAAAATTTTTGAAAGTAAATCTATATTCTATACGAATCCAGTTGATTCAACATTATTTAATATTTGTATTGTAAATCATCTTTCGGAAAATTTAAAATACTGGAATGATTTTGAAATTGAAAAAAAAATAATGTTAATAACTCACAATCACTTATTAATTGCAATGCCTTTAATTAATTCCTAAATTGTATTTTTATAATTTAAGCCTAATAAGAATGTACATTTTGTTTTATTATTATTGTAAGTTATGTTGTAAATTAATTTCAATTTTATTTGTATATATCATAGATTCACATTTCAGAATTTACATTTACATTTCAGAATGTGGACTGTTGTACATTTTATTAGAGATGATACTGTTGAATCAGTTCCTAATATCTGGTACAAAAAAAAAGAAAACAAGTGTGCTTGGCCTATATTAAAACATTCTGTAAAAAAAATGATAGAAAAAAGAGCATATCCAAATGAAATTGATTTTCAGTGGTTTCCAGCTAGAGCTCTTGGACATTCATATAGTAAGACTTAGCTTAAATTAAAAAATTGTATAATTTATGGTTTTTTTTTTTGTAGGTAGTTTACATGAAGCTCGTCAAAAAGCTAACAAAGCACAATTTTTTACAGATTTATCTTCAGGAAATGAAGATAATAACTGTCGTAAAAATTTAAGTTCTGTTAAATCTAAACGTATTCCAAGTCCTCCAACTTTTGTCATAGGTAAGTAAAAAAAAACTATTACTATAAAAGATAAATTTTTGTTTTTTAATTTTAAACATTAATAGAACTATGATAAAAATTTTTAATAGTAAATTTAATTAGCGTATTAGTTTGGACTATTTATTACAATAATATATCAAGTTAAATGTCAAGTCAACTAGAGGAAATTAATAATAATTGTCAATTTGTTTTAAGAAAGTTAAAATTTTGTTTTAATGAAATGATTTGAACACTATTTTATAATTTAATATTATACAGGATGTCTCTTGCTCAAGAAATGAGCATCTCCTAAAATAATGGAGATATTATAACTAGTTTTTTTTTATAAGAGTGATAGGAACAAGGACTACGAATATTTCATGTTTTAATTCAATTTGATGCTGTGGTAAAAAGTTAAAAAAAAAATTTAATTTAATTATTTTTACTACTTAACTACCTACTTAACTGAAAATAGCCATGTCGTTAAGTATATTTTTCTGAACATTTTGACATTTCAACATTTTATTTTCGTTAACCTCACTATTTTTAATAATTTTTCTAGTTTTTAAAAACAAAAATTGTGTATTATTAATTAATTGATATTTGATACCATACTACCTACTATAGTCCGTAACAAATATTATCAGAAAATGAGACAAGTTGGCATGAACTATGGTAAACAATACCTAATTTTTGTCAAAATTAAAAACTTTTAAATCGTGAGGTTAATGAAAATAATATGTAACATCAAAATATTAAGAAAAATAAACTACAATATAGCTATTTTAATTTTTGAAAATAATAGAATATTTTTTTAAACTTTTTTACCAAAATATTTAATTTAGTTAAAATATGAAATATTTAAAGTCGTCCCTGTGAATTTCAAAACCCTGACGGGACATCCTATACCTATGTATATTTATAAATTATAATCTCAACATTCATTTTTATTATATAAATATATTATTTAAATATTCTGTAATGCTTTTATTTCAAATAGAAAAAAATGAAACTGCAGAGAAGTTGGTTGATTTTGATATGTTTGAATCTGAAAATGAGGATAATGATGATACTGATAAAGATCCTGAGTACCAACCTGCAGAATTTACTGTGAATGGTATATTATTTTTTTTATATTAAAATATTATTAATTAGTATTCAATTTAAATATATTGTATATGCATAGTAGGTATGTATAATTTTTGTTTATAACTAATAGTTTAATTTTACAGATGATATGACACCAGAGAAATCACCAACTGTAGATAATTTTATTTTAAATTCACCAAGTGGAAAATTTATTGTTGAAAACAACTACAATCTTTTAAATGAACAGTATTCACAAACAAAAAATGCAGGTATTTCAGTATCTCAACCTACATTTGGTAATACTCCAACAACAGTGAACACGTTTAAGCGATCCTTATTCATGTCTGAACCATCCAATAAAGGTAAAATAATAAATAATAATTTAAGTATAAATAATAAGTATACGTTTTATATTATTATATATAATTAATACTGGCTTCAATATTTGATTTAGGAAACATAAGCAAACCAAAGCAGGATCATAAATATTTGATGCCATCAGTTGGTATGTATTCCTATTTACTTTAGATAAAATTATAAAGTGTACAAAAACTAAAATATTATTTATAAACAATACACATAAATAAATAGTATTGCCTCAATGTTAAATTGTAGTAACTTCATATTTATAACAATTTTAAATAAAACTTATATTGAATCCTAAATTTCTGTAATATATTTCAATGTACACATATGCCTGAGAATAACTAAACTTTTAAATAAAAAAAATATAATGTTTTTTCTGTAAAAAAATTATTAAATAAAACAGTATTATGTAACAAATATATTGTAAATTTGAATCTAATTTTATATTTTTAATTGTTATGTGCTATTATTATTGAGCTTAAATGGATATTATATATTTTTTTATGTGTGCGAGAGAGAGAGAGAGAGAGAGAGAGAGAGAGAGAGAAAGAGAAAAGTCTAATTAGGAAATTTTGAATTATGTTTATTGCATTATATAGTCAATATACTTATATTATTACATTATTTATTAGAAAATAATTAATTATAGTAACAATATTTTAGATTTCCAAAATTTTGTGGTTAATACATTAACAAAACTTAAATTTGATATGGCTCAAGTGATTAACACAACAACCGCAACAAATTTATCAGTGGAAAACTTACTCAATACACAGTTCCAAAACACATCTTCAAATATGACACAAACACTGAATGAACCAGATCTTAAAGACGTTTTTCCTATTAATTCACTTGAAGAGCTAAATCAGTTGGAAATCAAATTGGAAACCGATAAGCAGTTTAGATCAAATTTGGTATGTTTTTAAAATATGTGTTTTACCAAATTATAACTATAATTAATATTAAGTGTTTGTATGCAGATTTCAAAATTATCATTATTTGTGGGCCCAAAAAGTGTTGGAGACAGCGTACGTTGTATAATGGTTAAAATGTTCAATGATGACATTTTAATTTCTTACTCATTACAAGGTTTTAAAAAGAAAAAATGTTTTCAAAAGCTATCAGTTTACCATTTATTGATCGGTAAGTTAATATTGAATAAAGAAAAATTGTACATAGTTTTCAATTTATTAGAATACTATTTATATTAAATAATTTTTAAAATGATATTTCTCACTTCTGTGAGATAATATGAGCAATCATCCCCCTAAAAAACACATTGTAATAACAAATTATGTTAATTGCTTGATTTATATAACTTAAAATTCATTTCCAAGTATAATTGTCATCCGTAAATGTTAAAAATCATATTTTGTTTTCATGTTCTTCCAGTGATTGAGTTCCTCCCCCCCCCCACCACACACACTCCTTAATAAGGGTCCAGAACATTCCCGCTATCTAGCCTATATATGAATCACATTTTGTTTATATTATATATATAATATTATCTAATATTATTTAATAAATTCTTTATTTTTATACAGTTGTACCTATCATTTTTATTTCAGAATTTTAACTTTTAAATTATAGTAATAAATTGATGTATTGAAAATAACATGAATATTAAAATTATCTCTTTCAGATGCCTTAAGAGTTCATCCCAAATTCAAATCTCTTATAAACAAAGAATTTGATATTCCATTAGCAACATGGTTAGCGCATGCAAAATTTAGAATGCACAACAAAAATATTGACAAAATAACTAATAATAACAGTACAACTCTTTAAAAAACGTTTTCTATTTTTTTTTTCTATACTACTATTTAATATTTCAAATGGGAAAGAGGAATTTGTTTTAATTAATTTTTTTACAATTTTATATTATAATTTATAAGTATAATGTACCATGTATCTTATATATTGTTTCGTATATTTTATTTATGTATAAATAATAAATAATTTGAAGAAATATGTATGTATAATAACTTGTACAACCTGCTATACATAAGTATACAATTTTTTTACTTCTATTAGTAATATTTCAAACAAGGGAAAGAAGAATTTATTTTTATTTTATTTCTTACCTTTACATTTATAATTATTATATATATTGTATGTATGATGTATCTATTATATGCCTATATTATATTGTTTCATATATTATGTTATTTATATATAAATAATAAATAATTTGTTTAATTTAAATTTTTATTTATTTAAACAATAATAAAGTCACAGTTCTACACTGATTTACTTATTACTTAAACTAAATGTTTCCAATATTTCTCACATATATATCATTAGAAAAATTTCACAACTTATTTTAACTGGGGTGACATTTATGAAGTTATAATAAGAACTCTCTATTAACATTATTTATGGTTTTTTTTTTAGGATATTTATGAATAATATTATTATTCGTACAAGGTAATGGAGACTATATTTATTTTAACCCATTTTAAATGTTAATGAAACTTTATTATTAAGAGCAAAATATATTTTTAAAACATTAATCAAATGTTTGTAAAAAAATATTTTGTAGATTATCAGAAATGATATTTTCTAAAGCTTTTACTAATATGATGGTAAGTTAAAGTAACATTATACCGACTTAAAAAAAAATATTTTGAGAATGTGATTTTAACAATATTCGAAGCATATTATCCATGTAATATTTCTAGAATCCGAAAAAAAGTGGCCAAATAAAGACAATAGAAGATTCCTAGAATGTTAAAATTACATTATTTTAATCGGTTTAAAATCTTATTGGAACATTATTTTTAAATTTCTAACATTCAAAAAACATTCTATCAACATGATTTTGCTATCTGGGCGGTATTCTGTTATGGGTTCATCAGGTTCAAATCGCCAAAGAATTCGTAAATAATCACGGTCTTCAGAATGAATTTCAATTTGTCGATACATTTGCTTGATGTCAGCTGTAAACAGAACCTTATGTACTCGGGCACGAATCAGAATCCGTGGTAAGTTCTGTTGCAGCTTGCGACCTGTGTATAAGTTGGTATTGAGTGATTGTCCCGTGGTGGTCTTGGCAGATGCATCAAAGACGACTCGGAGTTTAGTTGTCTTACTCTCAGGACGCATGATGCAGTGGTGTGGGATGTAGTAACAATATGGAGTCATTCTTTGATTCATTGGGACTACTTCCATATGTTGACTCACTAGGTAATCTCTCATGAACTCCTTATATTGTCGGGAAAGCTCTTCATTTTGCGACAATCGGCGTTCCAAGTACCGAAATCGTGTTTGAGCCATGCTCCGAGAATCTCCGAGGATTGGGTTAGGATGTTTCAATGGTAGCGCAATGCTAAATCGACCAGATGCCAGACGTTTCACTGAGGACGTGAATATTTTTTCTGCGTGGATTTCATCTGGGCTCAAATGGTGTATATGCGGTGGTTCCTCCATCTCCCAAAATTTCGATAAAGATTGTTCAAGTGTCGAGTCAGAGGTGACTAACATTGACGTGACTGACTTGGGTCCCAGACAGCAATTGTGTAACATCAATATTATAATAACGTATTAACGTTAGTATTTAATTAAATATCAAATATTACAATTTTGGTGTTACAATAATATTATCTAGAGTTTAAAATTGTAATATTACACGTATAATGTTTCTTTAATGTGTTAATTAAGTTGTTTTTATAACGTTAAAGTTTAAATCACTTAATAATATTACAATAACATCAAGTTCTTAACTTATTATAATATTTTGCTTAAAATATTTTGTGCATGTTTTGAATTGATTTTTTGTAGTATGTTTGAATTATTATTATTAAAAAACAATATGATAACATTTAACGAATAATCTATAATAGTAATATATATATATATATAATATATTGCATAATCGATTGAATTATTTGTAACCCGAATTCCCATGTTTCCGAGGGTCTGTTATCAATAATAAAAAAAAAAAATGTATTATCATTTTATTTTGAACATCCAATGAGGTATATGTATACATATACACTATAATATATAGGGTATAATTCACTAAACATATATGCCCACCCCCCTTCAAAAAATAGGTCCCTTGCCATCACTCAATGGATAGTATACTGAAACATAATTTTGATGTTAGTTTCATTCTGATTATTTAAGATTTGTATTTTTATACAAACAGATACCTTTTGACTTACACGTTTAAACTTAAATTGTTGTATACATATATTTTTTTTTGTAATAATAGATATTGAACATTAAAATAAATGATTATAATATAATAATTTAGTAATGAATTGCCAAACTGGGTACTTTTTATCTTTACTTAATATCTTTTAATTAAATTGTAATTGTAGTTTAAATTTCTATAATTTTTATTTGTTAGATAGGTATATTTTTGGTATTTGTATTTTGGAGACACTCTACCCTTGGTCTGGCGAACCCGGCAATTGTTGGTGATGGTAAATGTAAATGTACTATTTATTGTTTAAAATATAATTATTATAGATGCTAAAATACTTTTAAAAAATAAAAGGTTCTCCGTCCATCTATGTTATCTGTTCAATTTAATCATCGGTCTCTGAACTACTTGCAATAATACAAATATGTACGTGTGAATAGAACACTATTACGTATCACAAAATGTCCAATATTTTCGTATACTAGATTAAACAAATGCATTCAGGATTCTAACATATACATTTTCATATCTCAAATTCCTTAAAAAATTAAAAATGCATCTGTTTAGTCCAGCACACGAAAATAGTGGATATTGTGTGAATACTTCATAGTAGTGTTGTACCCATATGCACATACTTGTATTAACTATTATTACAAGGTAGTTTATAGATC